GTGAAATGTTTGTTCCTTTTTTCGTGCTCAGGAAGTGGGCGTGTCAACAAGAACTGCATTCGTCCTTGTGTTCGTCCATCCTTTGTGTTGGGTAATGCCAAATTGGCTAAACCCCAGGGGGAGAGCAATGTGTACCCAGTTTAATTTAATTCTTAGGCATGGTTCTACACTAATAATTGAAGTGTGTATTTATGGTAATTGTATGCTTGTATTACCTGAATTCGTTTTTGTGCATTTCATGCATTTATTTCATTCCATTATTTGTTGATTTGTTGCTTAGTGGTATATTCCGAGGTGTGAGGCCTTGATGGAAACAAGGCAACAGTAAAACTGTCGCCCCCCATGAATAAAAAAAACAATCAAGGTCCTTATGGGAAACTTGTTTCTGATGAGGAGATGCATATATGTACACAATTACATGACTGTAGCTCAAAAGGGGCAGGAGATATGCTTGTTCAAAGTTTGGTGGGGAACAAAAAGTATATTTTGCAGAAAATCTAATAGATAGAGTTTATAGGTCCTTATTGGAAACGTGTTGCTCATAAGGGGCTGACATACCGTACCAGTCAAAAGTTTGGACACGCCTACTCATTCAAGGATTTTTACTATTTTTACTATTTTCTACATTGTAGAATAATAGTGAAGACATCAAAATATGAAATAATACATATGGAATCATATAGTAAGCAAAAAAGTGTTAAACAAATCAAATTGTATTTTATATTTGAGATTCTTCAAATAGCCACCCTTTGCCTTGATGACAGCTTTGCACACTCCTGGCATTATCTCAACCAGCTTCACCTGGAATGCTTTTCCAACAGTCTTGAAGGAGTTCCCACATATGCTGAGCACTTGTTGGCTGCTTTTCCTTCATTCTGCCGTCCGACTCATCCCAAACAATCTCAATTGGGTTGAGGTCGGGGGAATGTGGAGGCCAGGTCATCTGATGCAGCACTCCATCACTCTCCTTCTTGGTAAAATAGCCCTTACACAGCCTGGAGGTGTGTTGGGTCAAAACAAATGACAGTCCCACTAAGCCCAAACCAGATGGGATGGCGTATCGCTGCAGAATGCTGTGGTAGCCATGCTGGTTAAGTGTGCCTTGAATTCTAAATAAATCACAGACAGTGCCACCAGCAAAGCACCCCGACACCATAACACCTCCTCCTCCATGCTTCACAGTGGGAACTACACATGCGGAGATCATCCGTTCACCCACACTGCGTCTCACAAAGACACGGCGGTTAGAACCAAAAATCTCAAATTTGGACTCAAGACTAAAGGATACATTTCCACTGGTCTAATGTCCATTGCTCGTGTTTCTTAGGCCAAGCAGGTCTCTTCTTATTATTGTCCTTTAGTAGTGGTTTCTTTGCAGCAATTCGACCATGAAGGCCTGATTCACACAGTCCCCTCTGAACAGTTGATGTTGAGATGTGTCTGTGACTTGAACACTGTGAAGCATTTATTTGGGCTGCAATTTATGAGGCTGGTAACTCTAATGAACTTATCCTCTGCAGCAGAGGTAACTCTGGGTCTTCCATTCCTGTGGCGGTCCTCATAAGAGACAGTTTCATCATAGCGCTTGATGGTTTTTGCGACTGCACTTGAACAAACTCAAAGTTCTTGACATTTTCCGGATTGACTGACCTTCATGTCTTAAAGTAATGATGGACTGTCATTTCTCTTTGCTTATTTTAGCTGTTATTGCCATAATATGGACTTGGTCTTTTACTAAATAGGGCTATCTTCTGTATACCCCCCTACCTTGTCACAACACAACTGATCGGCTCAAACGCATTAAGAAGGAAAGAAATTCCACAAATTAACTTTTAACAAGGCACACCTGTTAATTGAAATGCATTCAAGGTGACTACTTCATGAAGCTGGTTGAGAGAATGCCAAGTGTGTGCAAAGCTGTCATCAAGGCAAAGGGTGGCTATTTGAAAGATCTCAAATATAAAATATATTTTGATTTGTTTAACACTTTTTTGGTTACTGCATGATTTCATATGTGTTATTTCATAGTTTTGATGTCTTCACTATTATTCTACAATTGTAAAAAATTGTAAAAATAAAGAAAAAGCCTTGAATGAGTAGGTGTGTCCAACCTTTTGACTGGTAGTGTACATCGTCAGGCCCAGCGTTATGGGCGGGCCATAGGGGGCCTGGCCCACCCTACCGTACCTCCTTGCCCGACCCCCCAAAAAATATTGAAAGATTTATACTTTATTTGACCGAGATTTGCGTCGACAGAAAGATGTATCGATCTCAGATAAAGTATCCGAGTGAGCGAAACAGCGGCCCCCTGTCTCCGAATGTGTACACCATGTATCTGGAGGAATATGTCAGTCTCCCGAGTGGCGCAGTGGTCTAAGGCACTGCATCGCAGTGCTAGCTGTGCCACTAGAGATCCTGGTTTGAATCCAGGCTCTGTCGGCCGTGACCAGGAGACCCATGCGGCGGTGCGCAATTGACCCAGCGTCGTCCAGGGTAGGGGAGGGAATGGCCGGCAGGGATGTAGCTCAGTTGATAGAGCATGGCGTTTGCAACGCCAGGGTTGTGGGTTCAATTCCCACAGGGGGTATGAACAAAAAATAATGTATGCACTAACTAACTGTAAGTCGCTCTGGATAAGAGCGTCTGCTAAATGTAAAAATGTCATACTTTTTCTGGCCAGACAGCATCAGATACATGGGCTACATATAGCAGACTGCTAGTTTTAGCAGAGAGGAAGAGGTAAAGCGAGAGGGCTCACTCTCGCCAAAATCTGTCCTCAATAAGCCCAAAGCGTTTCTAAGGGCATGATATGCAGACCTAAACTTGTTGCCTGCATTCCCAAACTTGTTGCCTGCATTCCCGGCTTTGGGACAACGACTCGCATTGTTAGGGCGGAGACATAAGCATCTCGTCATTATATAGAGATCTCTGGTTTCAGCCACTTGCGAAATAGAAAGGAAAGTTGGCGGATGCACAGTGCACTGTTCGGATGCTGGCATCCCCTAAAGTAAATTGATGTTTTGCCAAAATTACATAATTACTCCTGTCTAAGTAGAATCATTCAAAATACTTTACCAGAGAGCATGACTTAGCCACAGAGGATCATTAGCTTATTTTAAATTGTTTTGCTGTGGATTGTTTCAAATCACAACTGCATAGGCTTATGCCTATTTGGGAAGCCAGCTATTTGGGCAGCGCGCGTGGCAATAGGCCTAGCTGATTATTGAGTTGCGGCTGTCAGTGAAAAGCATCTAAAATTTGTGAAAATAATGTCTTGAGTATAATTTAAAATGTTGAGAAAACAAGAAGGGTGTGTGGCGAAGATATGGGCTTCTCTCTCCAGAATGCATGCACTCAGCTCTCTAGAGTGTGCTCCGTTGTCTCCCGCCAATTCTTGCAAATTCATTGTTTCATTGTGTGAATTCTTGATTGTTTATATTTATCAATTCCCCATTACATATGTAACCAGTAGGCGTAGTAAATGTACCGTTAATCCCCATCATTTAGTACATTAATTTCTGTTAATGCATGTATTACAGTAATTTACCATTCTCATTCTCGGAGCAGAAACGTTGTTTACAGAGTTCACAGCCTGCTACACTTGTAAGAAACAAGTTTTGTTTTATTTCATAATCATTATTTAGGAGTTTAGTCAATGTTTTTCAATGTCTTTTGTTTGGAGTGCTCCATGTGAGCAATGAGTATGTGTGTGGTTTCTCTGTCCTGGTAAAATTGAGGGAGCACGCACGCCTGGACATGCCAACCTGCTGAGTTGATACAACGTTGCAATTCACTAGCAGTAGCTCAAGTCAAGACAGATAGAAAGGGAGGCAGACAGGCGGAGTAGAGAGATTAATGCTATCGATTAACCGCGTGACAATTTTGAGAATCGAAAACCTTATTATTGAAATGAAACTGTTCCATGAAAATGCTGGCACACAGATAGGTAGAAATAGTAGGATAATTGTAAGCTTCCCCAAACTTGAAACTCACGAGCTGCCTATGGTCTTTATTATAACACCCATTAACAGGTCCAGTGAAAAAAACGGGCCCGCCTATAGAAATCAAATGCCCGTCCAACTGATTCGTTCTGGCGACCGCCCTGCGCATCGTGGTGATTAAGAAGTGAGTATACCCAATGCCCACTGAAAAATAAGTGGGTATATTGCGGATACCTGCGTATACCCTCCACTACACCATTGCTGGCCGTGACCCCACTCCCTGCGGGTGTCTCAGGGGGAGTTGGGATATGCAAGAAATACATTTCCATGAACAAATCAAATAACCCCCAAAATTATTATTATTATTATAAATAACACATTCATTTTAACTTGGAGGTCCTGAGTTTCCGACGACGTGAACGAGGAATTAGAGCTGCACACATGTACAGGGAGACTAGCCACTCACCGGCACCGAAAGACCCCTCACTCATGCTTATTTTCCTGGAACAAGTACCATCATAGAGATAGGTAGAGGACTCTAGTGCCCCAAAGCCCATTTTTGCATAGGCAGCGCCATTGAGGACGTTCACCATTTTGAAGCAGTCAACTGGGTGGGACTTCCAATAGTTTAAGGAAGGATAACATAATTCCATCAAGGTCACCAGGAGGGATCAGCCAATAAATTATACTTGTGAGGAAACATTCCTTAACTGCAGGTGGCAGTAAATCACCAACCTTGGCTTTATACCTGTTCAAACAACACACTCTAGGTGGAAGTGTGCACCCTTTGAGTTTGTTTGCCAACTCAAAGATACATACAATAATGTGATGTCTATTAAAATCTATGGGTACCACATACAGACCTCTTCCTTTTCTCATCTGCAGCCCTACCCACCCCTTGAGCATGTGCTCCCTTTGAGTTCGTTTGCCAACTCAAATATGCAGTTGAAGAAGAAAATGTACTACTTTACAATGGAGATGGACTCAATTGCGCTGCCCATGCGCTCACAGACGCCATAGTGGATCAGATACAATAATGCGATGTCTATCTAAATCTATGGGTACCACATACACGCCTCTTCCTTTTCTCATCTGCAGCCCTACCCACCCCTTCACCGAGAACTTGCTTTTTTCGCTACTTTGTTGAGCGGTGTTGAATGAGGACCAAATTGCACTGTGTAACATCAATTAAGGAATAAAAGACAGACGCGTCTGGAAAAGTCACCCGAGCAAACATCTTTCAACACCACTTCTGGCCTTTAAATTAACTACTACGCCACTGTGTAAAAATGACAGCAAAGCACCGAGGGAAGAAGAACAAACACAATCACGAAGATTTTAACAATTTTAATCATGAATCTTCGGAACCGGAGGCGCGAGGTGGAAACCAGTATGCACTTTTGTTCATTTTATTCCTTCTGATTGTGGTCGGAGGTGCAACGGCGACATGGTTCTGTTTCCAGCAACACCAAAGTATAACCTACTTAGCAGACAACCTCATGGGCATGCAGATGAAGATAGTGAAGCTTCAGTCCTTCCAGGAAGAAATTCTACAGACAAATGAAAAGGTAAATAGCCTAGTTAACCATGCGTAATAACAACATGGGCAAAAATAATAGGCACGTCAAAGGCTGTTACCATGCATCAGCAAACATATCAAAGGAACATTGTGTACAAGGTAATTTGTGGTGAAGTCCTGTGTTGCAATACTGTTCCGACCTTCCTCATTTATTCTGCACTAGGTGACATATATTTACTATTTTCCTATGGATAGCCAGAGCCCTAAAGGCCCCCAAATGTGAGCTTCACATTTTATTTATATGGACAGCTCTAGCAGTCGGTATTTATAGGTCTTCACTACAGTAGTCAGTAAAAGGTCATGATAGTTGTGAAGTCATATCAAATGTCATACTGCAAAGACACTGAACTGAAGTGAGTCGCAATTATCCTATTTCTAACCCCGGTCAAGGTGGGCTTCACGCAGCTGTTGGCATTTGTAATGGCGTTTGACCTACAATTTGGGAACATTCACTGCACCAATAGTTTATGTTAGGGTAAGCCACTGAATGTCCCTACAATATAGGCATAGTAAAATGAGATTTATAAACACATTTGACAAATATTCCACTTCCAATTCAACTACATTTTACAGCAGTTGACCCTGCTTGTAACCATGCTCTTGACACGGTCATGGTGCTGATTTCAGTGTGCACTGTGCAGTTGCTAAAAGAAGCCAGTTGTCTACATGGGAATAGAAATAGCCTGCTACAATGCTCTATATTGACCTTAGTTGTGGTGAGTCCCTGTAACAAGTTATCCTAGTGCAAGTTGCCAGCTTCATTGCACTGTTTCCACAGCTGGTCTTTAATCATACATATAAGCATGTTCTATAGATTAAACCGATTCAGACGTGGCCACCCGGGTGAGTGTGCCCAAAACATTGATTAAATAAGAGCCAAGGAAAATTAATAGACTAATTGAACCCTTTTATGGGCTCAATTTACTTCCCAATTAGGATGAGGAGGTATAATCACTATCTGCACATTCTTAATGCATGTTCCAAGTGGGTTAAGCATACCAGGATACCCTGCATCAATGAAAAGTTACTTTGTTGTCAAAACATGGCCCCACCTACAGGTATTACATCTAATTCATACAGACAGTCGCGAGATAAGAAACCTCCATTCAGAAGTTTGTTGAAGTTCTTTTACAGGACAAAAGGTTGACTGCCAACACCTGGTTGCAGGGCTGAATACAGGCATATGATTTTCCACATAAAGATCCTATGGTTTTAACATGTTTTAACATTGACCTCCACATACAGTGCATTCGGAAAGTATTCATACCCCTTCCCTTTTTGTTACGTTACAGCCTTATTCTAATATGGATTAAATAGTTTTTTCCCCTCATCAATCTACACACAATACCCCATAATGACAATGCAAAAAACAGGTTTTTAAAAATGTTAGTACATTTATTCCACAAAAAAAAACAGAAGTATCACATTTATATAAGTGTTCAGACCCTTTACTCAGTACTTTGTTGAAGCACCTTTGGCAGCGATTACAGCCTCGAGTCTTCTTGGGTATGACGCTAAGCTTGGCACACCTGTATTTGGGGAGTTTCTCCCATTTCTTCTCTGCAGATCCTCTCAAGCTCTGTCAGGTTGGATGGGGAGTGTCGCTGCACAGCTATTTTCAGGTCTCTCCAGAGATGTTTGATCGGGTTCAAGTCCGGCCTCTGGCTGGGCCACTCAAGGACATTCAGAGACTTGTCCCGAAGCCACCCCTGCGTTGTCTTGGCTGTGTGCTTAGGGTCGTTGTCTTGTTGGAAGGTGAACCTTTGCTCCAGTCTGAGGTCCTGAGCGCTCTGGAGCAGGATCTCTCTGTACTTTGCTCCGTTCATCTTTCCCTCGATCGTGACTAGTCGCCCAGTCCCTGCTGCTGAAAAACATCCCCACAGCATGATTATGCCACCACCATGCTTCACCGTAGGGATGGTGTCAGGTTTCCTCCAGACGTGACGCTTGGCATTCAGGCCAAAGAGTTCAATCTTGGTTTCATCAGACCAGAAAATCTTGTTTCTCATGGTCTGAGAGTCCTTTAGGTGCCTTTTGGCAAACTCCAAGCGGGCTGTCATGTGCCATTTACTGAGGAGTGGCTTCCATCTTGCCACTCTACCATAAAGGCCTGATTGGTGGAATGCTGCAGAGATGGTTGTCCTTCAGGAAGGTTCTCCCATCTCCTCCACAGAGTAACTCTGGAGCTCTGTCAGAGTGACCATTGGTTTTTGGTCACCTCCCTGACCAAGGCCCTTTTCCCCCCGATTGCTCAGTTTGTCTAAAAACATGTTTTTGCTTTGTCCATTTTGGGGTATTGTGTGTGGATTGATGAGGGAAAATGTTTATTTAATCAATTTTAGAATAAGGCTGTATCGTAACAAAGTGGAAAAAGGGAAGGGGTCTGAATACTTTCCGAATGCACTGTATATATAAAAAAAGAAGAAACTCTCAAGAGGTAGGGCTTCAGGTGCTTTCGGAAGATTGGCAGGGACTCTGCTGTTCTAGCTTCAGGGGGAAGCTGGTTCCACCATTGGGGTGCCAGGACAGAGAAGAGCTTGGACTGGGCTGAGCGGGAGCTGGGAGGGCCAAGAAACCAGAGTTGGCAGAACGGAGTGCTCGGGTTGGGGTGTAGGATTTGAGCATAGCCTGAAGGTAGGGAGGGGCAGTTCCTCTTGCTGCTCCGTAGGCAAGCACCATGGTCTTGTAGTGGATGTGAACTTTGACTGGAAGCCAGTGGACTGTGTGGGGTTACATGGGAGAACTTGGAAGGTTCAAAACCAGGCAGGCTGCAGCGTTCTGGATAAGTTGCAGGGGTTTGATGGCACAAGTGGGGAGTTCAGCCAACAGCGAGTTGCAGTAGTCCAGACGGGAAGGGAGGGAGAGAAAAGTAGTTGAGTATCATCCTCATAGCAATGATAGGAGAGACCATATGAGGATATGACAGAGAGCCTCCGTGACACAGAGGAGCAGTCTCGGTTGAGTGACCCATCTTGAAGCCTGACTGGTTAGGGTCAAGAAGATGGCCAACCTTTGACCATAATTTATAAGGTTAGCCTTCACACAGAGGGACTTCATCACTGATGGGGTCAGAATGTGGATTCACTTAACTGCTGACATAATTAAATTGTCCTACTTAAATCATAGGGTTATCCTACAGCCATTGCAGTACCTGGTCAATATCTTGTTCTCATTTCTTTACACCCACTTACTGGAACTGTCTTCGCCAATAGATAGTTCCCTTCAAGGATGAATAGCATGAGTGGTAAAAGACTTGATAAATGTTGTCTGTTTCTGACTGCTCACTTACTTGCTTATGGCTGCACAATGCATTGTATGATGGCTTGCCATAATTGTCTGTTCATCATGAAAGAAGCTGCCCTTTGTTTGGAGACCAGTGTCTGGGCAGATGTTTTTCAATATGTTATTTTGACTCTGAATAAATGAGGTTTATTTCCTTGCAGCAGCTCAGTACCGACGGCTTCGAGCATCGCCTCAACACCCTGGAAGAGTCATACGCACTGGCCCAGAAGCAGGTAGGCATGGCCCTGGCCATGGCTGAACAACTGAAGACCTCAGACCTGCCCACCCAAGTCCTCTCTCTACACACAGAGATGACGGCCCGGCTGGCAGAGATGCAGCTGGGCACAGTGTCCGCTGATCAGCTGACCCAGCTGCAGGCAATGCTGAAAGGGAAGAGCGAGGAGTTTGAGGCTGTCCGGCTGCAGGTGGAGGGCCTGGAAGGGTTGAGCACAGAGCTGGCCCAGAACGTGGAGGGCCTGACAGGGAGCCTGGCAGAGGCTGAGTCCAAGCTGGAGGAGAGGGCAGGGCTGGTGGGCACACTGAGCGCCACATTGGAGGGCCAGGCATCAGAGCTCCTGGGGCTGAAGGAACATCTCGCTGCCAACCAGGCTCAACTAGAGGCCAGTACAGCGGAGATTGCAAGTGTCAAGTATGTAGTGTATTTGGGGTTGGTAAATTCCTGAAACTTTCCCAAAGTTCACTTTATTTGTATTTATTTTTATCCCAGAAGCAGGAGGAAACCTGTGTTCTTTGGGGAAACTTTTTTTTAAACCTTAAATATATTGGTTTCTATTTCTGTATTAGTTGGTTTCACTGTGCATCTCACAGTGTGTGCATACCTGTGTTTCAGGGAGCTGATGGAGACGGGGCAGTTTCAGAGGGCCCAGCAGGCCAGTGTGGAGGAGAAGCTGGTGACTGTAGAACAGAGTCTGCAGGAGCAGAACTCAGCGGCCCACAGTCTGCACTCTGAGGTCCGCGCTCAGCTGGAGGCCGCGCAGAAACAGGTCGCCCAGGTAACGCCTACAGGAACTCTCACACATGCCAGGGTTTAGAATGTTGTGTTAGTAGGGAACTGGGTCACCCTCAAATATAGCCAAAATAGTTTGTTTTACATTTTTCTAATAGGCCTTTCTTCCTTTTATGAATATTGAAATATTTCTAATAGTATTTTCTTTTAATGAATATTCGGATGTACAGGTACATCAGGACCAGTCACAGGTTATTATTTTTCTAAACTTTTTCATATTTTCTCATCTTTCTCATCATCATTTTTTTGGCGTATTTTGTACAGAGGAGCATGCACATTCTCGTAACTATTTTTGCCCTGCATGTGTCCATGGGGAACTTTTATGTGATTGCTGCTTAACCATTAGTATGTAGAGGCTAATTGCCTGCTGTGGATTCTCTGATGAATTCTGGGGAAATGTTGTATTGCCATTCATATATTGCAATGTAGGCCAAATACATTACACCAATGTGATTACAAAGTCACCATAGGCCCTGTACTTCCTCTAAGTACTAACTCACTATAATTCTGTCTATTCCAGCTGGAAGGAGGGGTTCAAGCAGATGAGCCCTCAGAGGAGGTGGAGGAGACTGTTCCGGCTGCTGCTGAGGAGGTGGAAGAGGCTGCTCCTACAGAAGAGGAGCAGGCTGCTGAGGAGGTGGTGGTGGAGGAGGAGGAGGCAGCTCACTTAGATGGGGAGCCTGTTGAACAGGAGGACTCTGCTGTCCCAGAGGAACAGACTGCTCCTGCAGAGAAGGAGGAGGAGGAGATGGTGGAAGAGCAGGAGGACTTGGCAGAGGCAGCACCGGAGGAGGTGCGGGCAGAAGAGAATGTAGAAGAGCAGGCCGAAGAGGAGGATTCTGAAGCGGAGGAGAAGCAGGCCGTGGAGGAAGAAGGGGAACAACCAGAAGAAGATGGGGCCTCTCCTGAGGAGGAATGTAAGTCTGTCTTAAAATGCATTTCAAACTAGAGTACAAACCTCCAGTGACTGCAAAGTGCAGGGTACAAAAAGTAAACTAACGAAGTAAAGATGGATACCCGCACACCGACGAATGCTCCTGCAGCGTTATTGTGCAACATTTCGACTCAAATGTCTTCGTTAGCCCGATTTTAATATGCTCAGTGGTGAGTGGATCCATCTTTATTTCAAGGGTTTTACAATTACTCTACCTCTTTTGGCCTGAAATTGTTTCAAATGAGGAACACTAATGTGTTAATACAATGTTACTAGTCTAATTAGTGTTATTACACAGGTATAAGAGCAACTTAATGTAAAGTGTTACCGATGCCACTTACAAAATATAACAGACCATTTAGGGTTTCAATATCTTCTCTCATTGGTTGAGCAGTGTTCCTCACTAAAGGGCATTGTGGGCAATAGTGTATGAAATGTTTTTTTCTGATTTGCCTGGTCAGCTCCAGGGCCTTTAGTGAAAAACATGACCATTGATCTCTCTCCTAACTGTAATGTTAACTGTTATGTTATTCTATTTTACAGTGTGAATGTAAGCAGCAAGGAAAATCTTCTACAACCACCAAACTCACAGAGGATAATCAACACGTTCAGTCTGCATCATGACAAATGGGAAGGCATTGCCGATGTTGAGGTGCAATAAACATTTACTTTTTCTTTCCAAGGGGAAAAATCAGGTCGATAGGATTTACACAACTCTCTAGAATCAGTATTGTTACATCAATTAATGTGTGTATGAGAGGGCTAACTGGTCAGGCGATGGTTAATAATATTCAGGACTCACCTGTCAATATCAACCTCAAAGCCTTAATCTATTTTAACAACACATCTCTTTCTATAGATTATTTTACATACACCAATGTCACACTTTTTCTGCAAGCTCAGTTGAAACCGTCTGCGTTCAAAGTGACAAGGAGAACTAACTAAAAAGCCAATAGAAAAACAGTAATTCACTCTCACAGTCACACACAATCAAACAAAGCCATAAAAACATACCCATCTTGTTGATATGAACATGGCTTTCCTTTTGTCATTGTCTGAAATGTCTTGTTGGGATTTTCACTGGAATAAGGGATACGGAACAAGAGTTGGTGAACGACAGTTACTGTATCCTATTTGTTTACACAGGAATAAACAGCCTACTAAAGGAATAGCATGGGGGTAGCAAGGGCCATATCTATGAAATGCTAACATTTTCATGCAGTTTTACTAAAGATTGTTAGTCTAGTTGTTTTTTTACTGACAGTTTTCTTTTGACTTTTGTCTGTACACAATGTGCACTGTTACTGCCCAGGCATTGGGTAATTATGTCTCTCACAACGTACCACTCATCTCAGATCTCTGATGTATCTTTTATAAAATAAACCCTGGTTTATCCTCCGTAATTTTTTTTATACTGAGTTCAGTCTCCTTGTTAATTTTTTTCTACGATTTTATAGTATCTCATATGAACTGAAGTGAACATCTTTGATACAGTCTCGTCATTTTACAGTTGCAGAAAATGCCTTAATTTCTCTTCATGGCTTAATATGTTGTCTGTCCTATTACAGGGAGTAAAAAATGTGGTGACAGTGACACACTTATTCTCCCTGTACAATCAGCTCTGTAGTCTGTCACCTTCACCAAGGTCAAACTAATGTGTTCCCATTTTTACATTTCTGATGATGTACTGCTGTGAAGTGGTCCCATTTTTACATTTCTAATGATGTACTGCTGTGAAGTGGTCCCATTTTTAGTGCTACAACGCAGCATAGATATATTGTGGAAGAGTGTCTGTAATAATTTTATTCCACATGTCCGTGCATGCCATGTGAGGATCGACTCATAATGAAATGCTGAAAAACACAGACGTGTGTGGTTGCACATGCCTGCGTGCATTTTTGTGTGGAATCTTTACTCTGGTTAAGAATAATGACTTGAACTACCGGTTTGGTACTGCCACTATGGTTTACTATTATACCTGTTAAGCTGAGTTGACAAACTACTGCATACCTGGAAATAATTTAATTGACTAGAAATATTGCCAAATGTGTTCACACCCAACCATTTTATATGATGTACACTGAACAAAAATATAAATGCAACAATTTCTAAGATGTTACAGTTCATATAAGGAAATCAGTCAATTGAAATTAATGAATTAGGCCCTAATCTATGGGTTTCACATGACTGGGAATGCAGATATGCATCTGTTGGTCACAGCTAGATAAAAAAAAAGTAGGGGTGTGGATCAGAAAATCAGTCAGTATCTGGTGTGACCAACCATTTGCTTCAAGCAGTGCGACACCTCTCCTTCGCATAAAGTTGCACAGGCTGTTGATTGTGGCCTGTGGAATGTTGTCCCACTCCTATTCAATGGCTGTGTGAAGTTGCTGGATATTGGCGGGAGTTGGAACGAGCTGTCGTACAGGTCGATCCAGTTCATCCCAAACATGCTCAATGGGTGACATGTCTGGTGAGTATGAAGGCCATGGAAGAACTTGGAACATTTTCAGCGTCCAGGAATTGTGTACAGATCCTCGGGCCGTGCATTATCATACTGAAACATGAGGTGATGGTGACGGATGAATGGCACGACAATGGACCTCAGGATCTCGTCACGGTATCTCTGTGCATTCAAATTGCCATTAATTAAAATGCAATTGTGTTTGTCTGTAGCTTATACCTGCCCATACCATAACCCCACCGCCACCATGGGACACTCTGTTCACAACGTTGACGTCAGCAAACTGCTCGAAACCAGGATTCATCCACGAAAAGCACACTTCTCCAGTGTGCTAGTGGCCATCAAAGGTGAGCATTTGCCAACTGAAGTCTGTTACGACGCCGAACTAAAGTCCGGTCAAGACCCTGGTGAGGATGACGAGCACGCAGATGAGTTTCCCTGAGACGGTTTCTGACAGTTTGTGCAGAAATTCTTCGGTTGAGCAAACCCACAGTTTCATCAGCTGTCCAGGTGGCTGGTCTCAGACGATCCCGCAGGTGAAGAAGCCAGATGTGGAGGTCCTGGGCTGGTGTGGTTACATGTGGTCTGCTGTTTTGAGGCCGGTTGGACGAACTACTAAATTCTCTAAAACGACGTTGGAGGTGGCTTATGGTAGAGAACTGAACATTCAATTTTCTGGCAACAGCTTAGGTGGCCATTCCTGCAGTCAGCATGCCAATTGCACGCTCCCTCAAAATTTGAGACATCTGTGGCATTGTGCTGTGACAAAACTGCACATTCTGCGTGGGCTTTTATTGTCCCCAGCACAAGGTGCACCTGTGTAATGATCATGCTGTTTAATCCGCTTCTTGATTTGCCAAAAACCTATCAGGTGGATCGATTATCTTGGCCAAGGAGAAATGCTCACTAACAGGGGTGTAAACAAATTTGTGCACAATATTTGAGAGAAATAAGCTTTTTGTGCATGTGGAACATTTTCTGGGATCTTTTCTTTCAGCTCATGAAACATGGGACCAACACTTTACATGTTGTGTTTATATTTTTGTTCAGTGTATTATTACATAAAAAAATTACATTTTAGTCATTTTAGCAGACGCTCTTATCCAGAGCGACTTACAGTTAGTGAGTGCATACATTTTTCATACATGGTAAAGGATAAGGCCCCAGGGAGTTATATTTTATTTTACCTTTATTTAAACAGGAAGTCACCATTGAGACCAGGGTCTCTTTCACAAGGGAGCCCTGCAAATACACTGAGTGTAATAAAACATTAGGAACACCTTCCTAATATGAGTTGCACCCGCCAACATGAGTCTCAATTCATCGGGGCATGGTCTCTACAAGGTGTCAAAAGCGTTCCACAGGGATGCTGGCCCATGTTGACTCCAATGCTTCCCACAGTTGTGTCAAGTTGGCTGGGTGTCCTTTGAGTGGTGGACCATTCTTGATACACACGGGAAACTATTGAGCGTGAAAAACCCAGCAGCATTGCAGTTCTTGACACACTCAAACTGGTGCGCCTGGCACATAATACCATACCCCGTTCAAAGGCACTTAAATATTTTGTCTTGCCCATTCAACCTCTGAATGACACACATACACAATCCATGTCCAATTGTCTCAAAGCTTCAAAATGATTCTTTAACCTGTCATCTACGCTGATTGAAGTGGATTTAACACGTGACATTAATAAGGGATCATATCTTTCACCTGGTCAGTCTGTCATGGAAAGAGCAGGTGTTCCTAATGTTTTGTACAATCAGTGTGCAATTTATAAGACAACATTGAGTCAAAATCAAATGCAATGTAAAACAAACTAAATTACTGCACAACACAAACATGACATTGCTTTGTCACAATGGATTAGTATCGTTGTACAATTATTTCTAAATTTGTGAAGACTACAACCATTGTGTGTGTTATTCTGTTGTATGTGAACGTTTTCAGTGTGTTTGAGAGGATCAGCAGATCTGCACAGAATCACTGATCTACAAAGCATCTTGCACCCTTGTAATGTGGTTAAGTTCAGCGAATCAGCGCAGCAGCTGTGTGGTGTGTAAACTGCAGTGCTTGCATCAGGCTCTTGGAGACACAATTGGCTCAGAGTGCCTTGCGGCCCGCCTATGAGTCTGTGTATTGACTGCACTGTGCCTTGCCTAGCTGATGGAGAGGAAACCATCTCTCTCTCTCTTTTTCCTTCTCTCCCCCTCCACATTATTGCTCCCCTCTTTCTCTCTCTCTCTCTCTCTCTCCCTCTCCCAGGATCCTATCCGGCCTCTCCCACTGCAGTCTCTGACCTTCAACTAGCCTGGGACCATGCAAGCCTGCCTGCCCAGGTATGGAACTGACCCCTATCCTATCCCCTTATCTGCATGACTTCCCTGTGTTTTTACACGCAGAATGAAAAAGCTAGCCACTTCTGTTACTTTGATCCGAGAGGGGGTGTGGCCCCCTCACTAGTGTTTGGTATTTCCTGGTATTGGAAGGTATACACTTCTCTGGAATTTGTATTGTACTGCGTGGGAAGTTGGTGCCCCTGGGTTGCGTGTGTTAGTGGAATGGTTTGGGGTGTGAGTGTGTTTAGCTAAAGTACATATTTAGTACACTTAATGGAAATAAATACATTTTTCTTCACATGCCCCATTTAGGGTTATTACATTTTGTTGGTCAAGTTCAATAATACGGTCATTTGCAATATAAATGGAATAGTAGATGCTGGTGCATTGGCACTACAATACCACACACCAGTATGTTTAAATTACAACCCCAACAAATGCATCCTATATGAATATTTGGTCTCGAATTTGACATGCTTAAATCAAATTAGACATGCTTAAATCAAGTGTTTTTGAAACGTACTTTAAGTCCTATATCACATTTGCCTTAAGTATTTTTCATGATTGTGAATCTGCCACTGTGTAGAAATATGACTGTAATGTTGCTACAGAAGCTCAGTTGCTAGTAATGTAGCCATCCACAGCCCTTTAATCAGTGTTAAATAATGCAGTAGACTGAGGTCCTGACAGACTGTCCACTTAGGCTTTCTCTCAGGATGGAGGGTGTGGAGGGTGCCTTCCTGGCAGAGCAGAGGCTGATCGAGTGATACTCAGTACAGTAAAAGGGAGGGAGGGAGTGCAGCCTGCAGCCGGTACTAGTGGGAACAACATGAGCCATTACCCTGAATGCTGCTTACTCGACTCTTCCTCTCTCTGTCTATGGAGCCCAACGGCTGCTAACGTGGCTGTCACTCAGAGGTCATTGATTGGCTACTGTCAACGCCTAGAGTCATGAAACATGATCATGAAAGGAATACCACACAATGTCCTAAGAGAATTGTACCATTGATTAGCGCTAGGCATTGAGGGGGTGATTCAGTCCTCTGGTTACTATTGTGAACTTATTGTGTGCTTTGTACAGTCCATTGTTGTTTTGTGATTTGCATAATAAATATGTGGTATTTCATCAAGTACTGAATGATATGAATAACTGATCAAGTTGTTGAGCGATGGAATGAAGAACCACTTCAACATAATGAGGACGTAATTACATGGAACCTGCTCTGAATATCTGTTTTGGTAGTAGCTTTCAGAGCGATCACTTTCCATTAAGATTTTGGATGTGTTTGATTTCACTGCTACCCTCTTATCCTGAAAGGTTGTGATGACTATTTGAGCCTAATGTCAGCTTACCCTGATACGTTGTTACTAGGTGACAGTGTGGCCAGAGTTCATAGAAACTATTTATAGGGCATGACAGCTATGCCCTGCAAAGTGCAGCTGTCCTGTTTCCAACCCTGCAGGTCGTATCTAACCCCGGTGAGAGATGAGGAGGCAGAGTCTCAGAGGAAGGCCAGGTCTCGACAGGCCAGGCAAACCCGCAGATCCACACAGGTACAACACACTCCAAGGGCCAATTTCCCAGACACAGATTAAGTCTAGTCCTGGAGTGAAACTGCATGGTCAATGGAAATTCTCCATTAGGAATCCAAGACTAGGCTTAGTCTGTGTCAGGCAACCTGACCCCAAGATATTCTTTACTATTCATGTGATTTTATTGGACTATTTATCTATAGTATCTTGTTAATCTTAGGATGTACTGTCTGCATCTTCCTCAGGGTGTGACCCTGGCTGAACTGAAGGAGGCTCAGAGGACCTACAGCCTGTCTCCTCTGGACAGAGACAGACAGACAGAGGATGGATGTAGCAGACCGACTGACAGGTCCTGTCTGCGTGGGGCTACAGCGGACAGAGGAGAGGCCAGGTCCAGCCTGGCACAGTATAAGGAGACAGAGGATCATATTCCTACATGGAGCAGGGAGATAGACGAGGTGGGGATAAAACTTGAGTCATTTAGCATTAACCTTTCACCTCAGGATCTTATTGTTGTCATTAGATATTGTTTATAGATCATCTATGAATATGTCATCTTGTGAGAAGTCATCTTGTACTATAGTAGCTGTGTAGTTTAAGGTTCCAATGAGCCAAGTATTGAAGCGCTGTTTTTACCATTTCAAGCTTGGAAATCATAGATCAAGGCTGGGGACCATAGAGGCAGAGTATTCCACTGCAGGACCATGCCTCACATCTCCCTCTGCCAGTGGACCCTATACCCTGCCTTTCTCCTCCAGCCTGGCCAACCGCACATCCTCCAGAGGTCAGCAACCACACATTGTACTCAGTCATACAGAAACGACTGAATCCAGATGTTTACATTTTATTGCTCAAGCATGTTAATGAAGTTGCTTTGTTACAGAAATGTTACTATATCGATACAGTGGGGGAAAAAAGTATATAGTCAGCCACCAATTGTGCAAGTTCTCCCACTTAAAAAGATGAGAGAGGCCTGTAATTTTCATCATAGGTACACGTCAACTATGACAGACAAAATGAGAAAGAAAAATCCAGAAAATCACATTGTAGGATTTTTAATGAATTTATTTGCAAATTATGGTGGAAAATAAGTATTTGGTCAATAACAAAAGTTTCTCAATACTTTGTTATATACCCTTTGTTGGCAATGACACAGGTCAAACGTTTTCTGTAAGTCTTCACAAGGTTTTCACACACTGTTGCTGGTATTTTGGCCCATTCCTCCATGCAGATCTCCTCTAGAGCAGTGATGTGTTGGGGCTGTCGCTGGGCAACACAGACTTTCAACTCCCTCCAAAGATTTTCTATGGGGTTGAGATCTGGAGACTGGCTAGGCCACTCCAGGACCTTGAAATGCTTCTTACGAAGCCACTCCTTCGTTGCCCGGGCGGTGTGTTTGGGATCATTGTCATGCTGAAAGACCCAGCCACGTTTCATCTTCAATGCCCTTGCTGATGGAAGGAGGTTTTCACTCAAAATCTCACGATACATGGCCCCATTCATTCTTTCCTTTACACGGATCAGTCATCCTGGTCCCTTTGTAGAAAAACAGCCCCAAAGCATAATGTTTCCACCCCCATGCTTCACAGTAGGTATGGTGTTCTTTGGATGCAACTCAGCATTCTTTGTCCTCCAAACACGACGAGTTGAGTTTTTACCAAAAAGTTATATTTTGGTTTCATCTGACCATATGACATTCTCCCAATCCTCTTCTGGATCATCCAAATGCACTCTAGCAAACTTCAGACGGGCCTGGACATGTACTGGCTTAAGCAGGGGGACACGTCTGGCACTGCAGGATTTGAGTCCCTGGCGGCGTAGTGTGTTACTGATGGTAGGCTTTGTTACTTTGGTCCCAGCTCTCTGCAGGTCATTCACTAGGTCCCCCCGTGTGGTTCTGGGATTTTTGCTCACCGTTCTTGTGATCATTTTGACCCCACGGGGTGAGATCTTGCGTGGAGCCCCAGATCGAGGGAGATTATCAGTGGTCTTGTATGTCTTCCATTTCCTAATAATTGCTCCCACAGTTGATTTCTTCAAACCAAGCTGCTTATCTATTGCAGATTCAGTCTTCCCAGCCTGGTGCAGGTCTACAATTTTGTTTCTGGTGTCCTTTGACAGCTCTTTGGTCTTGGCCATAGTGGAGTTTGGAGTGTGACTGTTTGAGGTTGTGGACAGGTGTCTTTTATACTGATAACAAGTTCAAACAGGTGCCATTAATACAGGTAACGAGTAGAGGACAGAGGAGCCTCTTAAAGAAGAAGTTACAGGTCTGTGAGAGCCAGAAATCTTGCTTGTTTGTAGGTGACCAAATACTTATTTTCCACCATAATTTGCAAATAAATTCATTAAAAATCCTACAATGTGATTTTCTGGATTTTCTTTTCTCAATTTGTCTGTCATAGTTGACGTGTACCTATAATGAAAATGACAGGCCTCTCTCATCTTTTTAAGTGGGAGAACTTGCACAATTGGTGGCTGACTAAATACTTTTTTCCCCCACTGTATATCCATGTCATGTGATGTACGGTATGTACCATAGGAAGAAAATGATATACCTGACACCCTTCGCACTATGATTATGCAGTCAGTTCACCAGTTTTTTTTTGTTGTTTTTGATTGTTTTTACTATAAGATCTCTATAGGATAAAGACCTTGGCATGGTTGGGCGCAGTAACTGTTTAGTGATTGTCTCTTATCATGTGAATACTGTAGTTGTTGAATGGAAAGATGAAAACCAGAACCCCGTTGAGGATCCCTCCAAACGTGTCCTCGCCACAAGAGAGAAACATCTTCGGTTCTGCGACCAAGAGGCAGATGAAACCTACCAGACTTTTAAGGTATGTGGGTTTGATCAAATTCGCTACCAATGTTAAAGCTATGATCTTATAGATTTGACATTTTTCAGAATTGAAGGTGAACAAAAACAAAATCTAAATGTTGAAACAAACTCCTTCTAGAAATGTCTGTGCCATTTTCAGCTACCACTAGGTGGTGGCAAAAGAAAGTATGATTTCAGTACAGTATCATTCTCCTCCCAGATGATGGGGCGTTTGTTGAGCAACAGTTGCATTTGCAGTGGGGAATTGTATTATATTCTATTACACACTTCACTGATTATATTGTCAGAGTAATAGCAGGGGATTTCTATGATTCTTGAAATACACTACATTCATTCATTCATTCATTCTAGTCATTTAGCAGATGCTCTTATCCAGAGCGACTTACAGTAGTGAGTGCATATATTTTCTAATTTGTTCATATTGGTCCCCTGTGGGAATCAAAACCACAACCCTGGCGTTGCAAGTGCCATGCTCTACCAACTGAGCCACAAGGGACCAAAAGTATATGGACACCTGCTCGTCGAACATCTCATTCCAAAATCATGGGCATTAATATGGAGTTGGTCCCCCCCCCCTTTGCTGCTATAACAGCCTCCACTCTTCTGGGAAGGCTTTCCAATAGATGTTGGAACATTGCTGCTGGTCGGGCACTGATGTTGGGCAATTAGGCCTGGCTCGCAGTCAGCGTTACAATTCATCCCAAAGGTGTTCGATGGGGTTGAGGTCAGGGCTCTGTGCAAGCCAGTCAAGTTCTTCCACACCGATCTTGACAAGCCATTTCTGTATGGACCTCGCTTTGTGCACGGGGGCATTTTCATGCTGAAACAGGAAAGGGCATTCCCCAAACTGTTGCCACAAAGTTGGAAGCACAGAATCGTCTAGAATGTCGTTGTATGCTGTAGCATTAAGATTTCCCTTCACTGGAACTTAAGGGCCTAGTCCGAACCATGAAAAGCAGCCCCAAACCATTATTCCTCCTCCACCAAACTTTACAGTTGGCAGTATGCATTCGGGCAGGTAGCTCCTGGCATCCGCCAAACCCAGATTTGTCCGTTGGACTGCCAGATTGTGAAGCGCAATTCATCACTCCAGAGAACGCATTTCCACTGCTCCAGTCCAATGTCAGCGAGCTTTACACCACTACAGCCGACGCTTGGCATTGCGCATGGTGATCTTAGGCTTGTGTGCAGCTGCTTGGCAATAGAAACCCATTTCATGAAAATCCTGACGAACAGTTCTTGTGCTGACGTTGCTTCCAGAGGCAGTTTGGAACTCTGTAGTGAGTGTTGCAACCGAGGACAAACGATTTTTATGCGCTTCAGCACTCGGTGGTCCCATTCTGTGAGCTTGTGTGGCCTACCACTTCACGGCTGAGCCGTTGTTGCTCCTAGATGTTTCCAATTAACAATAACAGCACTTACAGTTGACCGGAGAAGCTCTAGCAGGGCAGAAATTTGACGAACTGACTTATTGGAAAGGTGGCATCCTATGACGGTGCCACGTTGAAAGTCACTGAACTCTTCAGTACGGCCCATTCTTCTGCCAATGTTTGTCTATGAAGATTGCATGGCTGTGTGGTCGATTTTATACACCTGTCAGCAACAGGTGTTTCTGAAATAGCCGTATCCACAAATTTGAAGGGGTGTCCACATACTTTTATATCATATTCTATTGCAATTACTGATACGTGTGTGTGTGCGCGTGTGTGAATGCGTGTGTGTTTAAATGTGCTTACTTTTCTTTTATACAAATATTGATTAACATCTGATCAGTAGTGTTGCGTACAGAGGCCATGAAAGTGTTGTGTATTGCCAGAGGAGCTGTACTACAATGTTAGTGTAGTTTGAGTGTTTGTGATAGAGCTGTTGTGCTATCACACTGGGAGAGAGTCCAGGGAAGGCAGCAGCACCCACATACCCCCTCTCCTCTCCTTCCCTTTCCTTCTCCAACCACATCACATGCTCCAGGTATCTTGACATTCCATACCATATTGGGCAAAATGGGGAGCTCCTCTCCTGCGTCTTAGCCTTGAATTCTACAGCCAGAATTATACTGTTTCCGCTCGCTATCATGATAGTGCGAGCAAGGAGAGAGAGATCGAGCGAGAGAGTGCCGCTGCGAGAGTGTGACTCGTTATATCTATGCGTAGATCAGTCTGAGCGGGATATAGTAGAAGAGGATATCTCTCTCTCATCTAGCGGCGAGTATCTATATAGCCCTCTCTCGTCTGCATCTATCTCTCTCTACTTCTCCTCTCTCTATCCTCTCTCTTCGCTCTCTCTCTCTCTTCATGGGTGTTTTCCTTCTGCCTGTGGGTTAGACATCTGCACAGACTGTCTCCATGCAGCCCACTGTGTACATTCCTCCCAGGGCAGAGTGGCCCTATCAGCCTGGAGAGCCCTTTCAAAACAATGTTTCAGCTTAAGGAAAAAGCTCACAGAGTTACTGTGAGGAGGAGATTTTGTTCCTTTCCCTTAATGGGCTTAGGGGAGAGTGGGGTAAATAATAATTTGACCAAATATTTAGGAAGAGGTCATAATTTCATGGAGTCTGTGAAGGAAGACACCACATGGAAAAAGTGGTACGCAAGTTAGGTCCAAAAAAACAGATTTTCACCAAGTCAAATGAATTTATTGTGTTAGAGCAGGGATGGGCAACTGGCGGCCCCCCTTTTTGTATGCACCTCGTGTATTCTACTATTCTGTCAGTCACTGACAGTCATTCAAGTAGCCTACAGTGCATTAGGAAAGTATTCATACCTCTTGACTTTTTCCACATTTTGTTACGTTAAAGCCTTATTCTACAATGGATTAAATCGATGTTTCCCTCATCAATCTACACACAATACCCCATAATAACAAAGCAAAAATAGGTTTTTAGACATTTTTGAAAAAGTTGAAATAAAATTACAACTGAAATAATACATTTACATAAGTATTCAGATATTTTACTCGTTACTTTGTTGAAGCACCTTTGGCAGCGATTACAGCCTCGAGTCTTCTTGGGTATGACGCTACAAGCTTGGCACACCTGTATTTGGGGAGTTTCTCCCATTCTTCTCTGCAGATCCTCTCAGGCTCTGTCAGGTTGGATGGGGAGCGTCGCTGCACAGCTATTTTCAGGTCTCTCCAGAGATGTTCGATCGGGTTCAAGTCCGGGCTCTGGCTGGGCCACTCAAGGACATTCAGAGACTTGTCCCGAAGCCACTCCTGCATTTTCTTTCTTGTGCTCAGGGTCATTGTTCTGTTGGAAGGTGAACCTTCACCCCAGTATGAGGACCTGAGAGCTCTGGAACAGGTTTTTATCAAGGATCTCTCTGTACTTTGCTCCGTTCATCTTTCCCTCGATCCTGACTAGTCTCCCAGTCCCTGCCGCTGAAAAACATCCCCACAGCATGATGCTGCCACCACCATGCTTCCCCGTAGGGATGGTGCCAGGTTTCCTCCAGACGTGACGCTTTGCATTCAGGCCAAATCTTCGTTTCATCAGACCAGAGAATCTTGTTTCTCATGGTCTTGAGAGTCTTTAGGTGCCTTTTGGCAAACTCCAAGTGGGCTGTCATGTGCCTTTTACTGAGGAGTGGCTTCCGTCTGGCCACTCTACCATAAAGGGCCTGATTGGTGGAGTGCTGCAGAGATGGTTGTCCTTCTGTAAGGTTCTCCCAGCTCCACAGTGGAATTCTGGAGCTCGGTCCGAGTGACCATCGGGTTCTTGGTCACCTCACTGACCAAGGTCCTTTTCCCCCCTATTGCTCAGTTTGGCCGGGCGGCCAGCTCTAGGAAGAGTCTTGGTGGTTCCAAACTTCTTCCATTTAAGAATGATGGAGGCCACTGTCTTCTTAGGGACCTTCAATGCTGCAGAAATGTTTTGTACCCTTCCCCAGATCTGTGCCTCGACACAATCCTGTCTCAGAGCTCTACGGACAATTGCTTCCACCTCATGGCTCAATTTTGAGTCTCATTGCAAAGGGTCTGAATACTTATGTAAATAGGGTATTTCTGTTTTTTTTTAAATAAATTAGCAAAAATTTATTAAAACCTGTTTTCGCTTTGTCATTATGGGGTATTGTGTGTGTAGATTGATGAGGGAAAATAATAATTGTATCAGTTTTAGAATAAGGCTGTAATGTAACAAAATGTGGAAAATGTCAACGGGTCTGAATACTTTCCGAATGCACTGTATATCAGTTTTCTTTTTTTGATTGGTAAGTTAGTCTAGCCAGTTATCTAAACTTGTAGTAATCATGGTTGAATTACTGACCGGGGGGGCCCCCATTGATTTTCTTAGTCACTCTCACTCAGATATCATATTAAAAACTGCAAACATTTCTCTCTACCCTATGGCAAAATGTGTAGAATTGCAGGAAATTAGCTGTAAACTTGCTAATTTCTCTCCACCTCATGGCAAAATGAGTAGAATTGCATGAAATGAGTTATACAATTGCTAAATCTTCTCTCTGCCAAATTGCAAAATGTGTAGAATTGCAGCAAATTAACTCTAAAACGTGAACATTTTCTCTGCTGTCAAGAGGGGGGCCGCTAAAATATTTTGCTTGCAATAAAATCTCACTTAGGGCCCCATTTAAAGGCATATGTGGGTATGTATGTGGGTACGCAGACCCGCAAGCCGCTGCGGCCCCTCATGATGAGTTCTGATTTTTTGTGGCCCCCACCTACATCGAAGTTGCCCATCCCTGTGTAAGAGGTTTTATGATGCTTGTATCTAAACCAAAGCAGGTACTTTCAAGATTGTTCTATACATCAGTTGGGGTCTCTATAAGCGTCAATATGAGGTCCTTATCTTAGCATGAAAGTGCATCCTTGTAGCTGTGTGGGCTAATATAGTCAAAATGTTTGCCTTGGGGTAAGGTGAGCCAATGGCCAGTTGAGTAAATTGAAGTGTTTTCTTCCCAGGTGTAATGCAAGGCATTATCTCTGTGATGTGAGGTAACAACAGGGCCTATGTTAAAAGTGTTCAAAAAGTACAATGTGTTTGTTAGGTGTTAAGCCTGTGTTAAAATAAAATATATATAT